CGTTTGTCCACAAGTTCTCATCCACATCATCAGACTGTCCTCTCACCTGGGACAGCCTGTCCTGGCCTCACCTGTCCTCTCCAACAGAGGACATGAGCTCATGACAGAGTTTACACATTTCTATGCCTCTGCGCCCGGACTCAAAGATGAACTGATTAGATTTTCGTGGTCAAAGGTCAAAGGTCATCGTGACTACACAAAACATGTTTTTGGCCATAACTCAGCTCACCTTTTCATGAAGCAGCAAATTATTTAGTGTAGCGTTGGATTCCGAGCGCAGATGTTGAGTTTTACAGCAGAATGTAAACATGTCGGTGTTTGAGGGTTTGACTGAGAGTTTCTCGCTCAAACTCAAAAGGTGTTTTAAAGTGAGACGTTAGTGAAACAAACCAGCAGGTATGACTCACCTGTGTGACGCTGCTGATATCAGGTTTGTCATCAGACAGAGGAATGCAGCCAAACAACAACAACCTGTTGACTTCCTGTTCACCTGAACACACCTGTGTGTCCCGGTTTCCTCTGAGGACAACGGACGCAGTGAACAGAGTGAAAACGTTTAGAAGCTCCGCAGATAAAACAAGATAAAACCAGCTGAACACGTAACGATGGAGTCACATGACTTAGATGTTCATACAGATGTTCTCAGATGTTCATACAGATGTTCTCAGATTTGCCCAGACACAGTGTCATGGTCCCGTTAATTCTGCTTCCAAATGAAAACGACCACAGATCTTTTCCTCATCAATAATCAATACTTCATGTGTATCAGTCACGAAATATGAAATAACAAACACCTGCCAGATTTTTTATTGTGATGTTTTCGTCAGTTTTCTGCCTCATGTTCATTTTATATGTTTGGAAAGTTGAATAAAGTTCAGAGTGTTTGAACGACAGTCGCACTGACAGACGGCTGAGCAGGTGAACAAACAGGTTGAGCAGGTGAGTCGAGCCTGAGTCCACGTGAAGGCAGCTCAGGTGTGTCATCCCTCCGCCCCTGCCGGTCGGACCGGTCTGACTCAGGAGGTTCAGGTATAAGATGCCGAGGACGTGGAGCCTGGCAGACGCCGCAGCTGCTCATCCTCTCTGGTCCAGTGGTTCTAGACACTTCAACAGTAGTGAGCCCACATTTGTGAAATGTTTAGGACCACTTGATCAGGTGAAGGAACTGTCACCTGGAAGAGACTGCATGTTCTCAGCAGTCAGGACTGTACCTGAACCGCAGCAGGACACCAGGTGGACTCGGCTGAGACTGAGAGGACTGAAGGAAACATCTGCTCGCACTCTGGACGTTCTCCACCTTTCTGTCAGTTTTAGATCATTTTACCTCTTTGGTTCTCACACTGTTTCAGTTCAATGAGGCAGTTAAAATGGAACGACGTAAAACTAACGAGGCAGGAAACGACCGTTTTAACAAGCTGCTTTTTTACATGAAGAATCAGTCACTTAATCAACGAGTCAGTCGACAGGAAATCAACCTGTTCCTGCTCCTCAGACCTGAAGCCACACCTCTGCCTCACCTGTGCTGACCTTTGATTACAAAGTGATCACAAGAAAATCGTGTGTGTGTGTGTGTGTGTGTGTGTGTATATGTGTGTGTGTGTGTGTGTGTGTGTGTGTATATGTGTGTGTGTGTGTGTGTTTTGGTGTGTGTGTGTTGTGCTGTGTGTGTGTGTGTGTGTGTGTGTTGTGTGTGTATGTTGTGTGTGTGCTCGTTGTATGTGTGTGTGTGTGTGATGTGTGGTGTGATGTGGGTGTGTGTGTGTGTGTGTGTGTGTGTGTGTGTGTGTGTATGTGTGTGTGTGTGTGTATGTGTGTGTGTGTGTACCTTCTTTCTCTAATTCATTTCATTATCAGTATTATATGAAAGTGTTTGTGTTTCTGTGAATAAAGGCTTCAGCTGATTGAACATGTGACTGAAGAGTAAAATATCTGCTGTTTCTACTTTTACATCAGAGGTTTTTAAAAGAGACGGAGGTGAATCTTTCTCCTCATTTCATAAAGAACACAATTTAATTTATCTATATAATCTAATTATAATCTATTTTAACACCTATAACACACAGTTTATCCATAAATTTGAAGTGATTGAAAGTGTGTGATATATCATCACGAAGGTTACATTATAATTGACGCAGCAACTGATGATCAGTGATCAGAATAATGTGTGACTGTGTTATTGATCATCTGCTCAGGTATGATCACATTCAAATTAAACACAGATACAGTGAAACCAGACTTTCGCAGGTCAGTGAACACAACGTGAGGTCAAGCAGGAAACACCAACGTACCTGCACATAGTGAAAACACCTGGACCACACAGTCTCAGGTAACATCGTGATCCTCGACGCTGACGTGGTGGAACCAGTCTGTCAGTGGTGTGTGCTTCATCAGGTCCTGGCTTCACTGTCAAAACAAACCACACATTATGATGAAACTGTTTATAGTGCTTTCATTTATAGCAGTATTCTTAATGCACCTCCGACACCAAGTGTTCAATCAGTCTGACCTGACGTAGGTTCAGGGAGCAGCAGCTCAGCAGATCTGATTAATACTTCTTCTGATCTCAGGATTTATGTCATTTCTTTTGCTGCCAAACCTCAATTGTCCAAATGCAGCTGTCAATCATGTTTAAAAAAACATCTCAGTCAGTTTTGACCTCATGTTCATTTGGAAAATGTTAAATCAGTCAAACATTCTTATTAATACTTCAGAGAGTAATTTTAAGATATAGTTTCCTTGTTACTGAGTATTGGCATCCACCAGACTGTTACTGTTAGTGGAGGGTGACAGACAACACAGTGAAGTGAAATGTAGGGAGGAGGGAGGCGGGAGACGGGAGGGAGGAGGAGGGAGGAAGGAGGGAGGAGGGAGGAGGAAGGAGGAGGGAAGGAGGAAGGAGGGAGGAAGGAGGGAGGAGGAGGGAGGAGGGAAGGAGGTAGGGAGGAGGGAGGAAGGAAGGAGGGAGGAGGGAGGAAGGAGGAGGGAAGGAGGGAGGAGGGAGGAAGGAGGAGGGAAGGAGGGAGGAGGGAGGAAGGAGGAGGGAAGGAGGGAGGAGGGAGGAAGGAGGAGGGAAGGAGGGAGGAGGGAGGAAGGAGGAGGGAAGGAGGGAGGAGGGAGGAAGGAGGAGGGAAGGAGGGAGGAGGGAGGAAGGAGGAGGGAAGGAGGGAGGAGGGAGGAAGGAGGAGGGAAGGAGGGAGGAGGGAGGAAGGAGGAGGGAAGGAGGGAGGAGGGAGGAAGGAGGAGGGAAGGAGGGAGGAGGGAGGAAGGAGGAGGGAAGGAGGGAGGAGGGAGGAAGGAGGAGGGAAGGAGGGAGGAGGGAGGAAGGAGGAGGGAAGGAGGGAGGAGGGAGGAAGGAGGAGGGAAGGAGGGAGGAGGGAGGAAGGAGGAGGGAAGGAGGGAGGAGGGAGGAAGGAGGAGGGAAGGAGGGAGGAGGGAGGAAGGAGGAGGGAAGGAGGGAGGAGGGAGGAAGGAGGAGGGAAGGAGGGAGGAGGGAGGAAGGAGGAGGGAAGGAGGGAGGAGGGAGGAAGGAGGAGGGAAGGAGGGAGGAGGGAGGAAGGAGGAGGGAAGGAGGGAGGAGGGAGGAAGGAGGAGGGAAGGAGGGAGGAGGGAGGAAGGAGGAGGGAAGGAGGGAGGAGGGAGGAAGGAGGAGGGAAGGAGGGAGGAGGGAGGAAGGAGGAGGGAAGGAGGGAGGAGGGAGGAAGGAGGAGGGAGGAGGGAGGAGGGAGGGAGGAAGGAGGGAGGAGGAGGGAGGAGGGAAGGAGGTAGGGAGGAGGGAGGAGGGAAGGAGGGAGGAGGGAGGAGGGAGGAAGGAGGGAGGCGGGAGATGGGAGGGAGGAGAGAGGGAGTGACTGAGTGACTGAGTGACTGACTGACTGAGTGACTGCCTGAGTGACTGACTGACTGACTGACTGACTAACTGAGTAACTGACTGACTGACTGACTCAGTGACTGACTGACTGAGTAACTGACTGACTCAGTGACTGACTGACTGACTGACTGACTGACTGCCTGAGTAACTGACTGACTGAGTAACTGACTGACTGACTGACTGAGTAACTGACTGAGTAACTGATTGACTGACTGACTCAGTGACTGACTGACTGACTGAGTAACTGACTGACTGACTCAGTGACTGACTGACTGACTGAGTAACTGATTGACTGACTGAGTAACTGACTGAGTAACTGACTGACTCAGTGACTGACTGACTGACTGAGTAACTGATTGACTGACTGACTCACTGACTGATCATATTTCATCGTCACTGATTTTCTTGATCAAACAGGTTCTATTAGGGGATGTTGACTGCTGCAGCACATTGTTTCTAGAAGTCGAGATCTGTTTTGAAACAGACTGGATATAAACTTCGTCCAGGTCACAGACATTTGAAAACAGGATCCAAACGTTTTGAGCTAATGCTTCATTCAACATGGAGGAAACATCAGTGTTTCCTGATGTGTCCTCTCTGGTTTCTTATATCAGTGAGTAAATCTGGACAGAAGAAAGTGACTTATTAGTTTTCTTTGTTTCAGATTTCAGGACAGTCTCCTTCAAACAGACTGTCCTCACTGAGGCAGACACTATCTAACTGTAACCAGACCCTCTGACCTCTGACCTCTCAGCATTATATTATTTAACTTTTATTATATGAAGCAGTAACTGTAGCAGCTCTATTAGAAGTAATAATAATAACAAACTTTATCTGTAAACCAGCTTTTTAAACAGAGGCTCAAAGTCTTTACACTGAGAGATGACTGAAGATCTGTTCAGCCTGACACTTCTCTGCTCTCTGCTGAGCCTGAGGCTAGATGGTCCGTTAGCTCCATCTAGTGGACAGATAGTAGAACTACACCATGTGATGTGTGACGTCTCTGACACTGACTGGGTTTCTGTCACAGGTCAGACTGGTTCTGACGTCACTCTGATGTTTTTCAGACTTGGACTCTGAAGTTATGAGGAAGTGACTCGTCCTCAGATCAAATGCTCACAGACACCAGGACTGACGAGGGAGAATGAGCAGCTTCTTCTCTCCAGATGTTTCCTCGACACATGAAGGTGGAAAGTGTCTGTAAGTCGACCTGAAGTGAGTTCAGCAGGTGAGAATCCTCCAGAGAAATCTGTAAATGTCTGATGAACAGGATCACTGTGCTCACCTTGAGTTTGTTGTTTCTGGAAGCTGATTGGCTGGTTCAAATATTTGATGCTTTCAGGTGTAAATATTGTCAGTAATTTCTATCTGAGTTAAAGGACAAAGACTTGTATGTATTATTGTTGGTGCTCACAGGAAGAATCAACAGCAGTTTGATTGAGTTCAGATCATTAGTGAAATATGTAGAGAGAGTCAGAACTGGTCGGACAGCTTGGATCAACTGACTGTTGATATTCCAGGTATTAGTCCAGAGTTTGTTTCATGTTAGTGACAGTAATGAGAACTAATGTTTCCTGTGATGTAAACCCTGTTGTAATGAAGCCTGTTGTTGTGTTGGTGTGAAGGTGGGGGCTCTGCCATGGATCAGTGTGAGGACAGAGAGGAGGGAGCCCCTCCCTCTAAAACCACTCTGTGTGGGGAACATGAGAGAAAGACCAGAGCTCAGAGGTGAGATGAGGATCTCTAACTGTCCATGACTCACATCACTGCTCCATCATTATTCACACTCACTGTCACATCTGCCATCAACTACTCAGTAACAGCTCAAAGAACTAATAACCAACTACTAACTGTCTCAGTGAACAAAGAGCCAACAGCTGATCAGTCAGCTGATCAACAGCTGAGGTCAGATCACATGTTGATGAATAGGAGAACGTTACTCATCCTCTGTCTTCTTACTGAGTTTCTATCTGCTGCTAACATTTCACCTGGAGACAGTCTGCTCACAATCCATCTGTTCTCAGGTTAAAACTCCTTTTCATTTGTCACTTGTTTGTTTGCATCAGGAAGCAGCAGCAGAGACCAGATGCTCCTGAACCCAGCTGTGTGTCCATGAAGAGTGACCGGTCTATAGGTCGCTATATTGACTTTAAAGATGTACGACCTGCTGAAGGAAGGTAAGAATTTAAAACTGAACTTTGTTATTATCTGACTCTCCTGAGAAGAGGAATCATGTCTTGGTCCAGTTCTTCATAGTCTGTTGTAGGACTGAACTACCTGCTCAGGTAGCTGCTGACCTTCCTGTCCATCATGGTGGTACCTTGTTGATGAAAGATAAACTCAGAGGGACATCAGAGACATTCAGGCTTTAAGCTTGTCAGGTAATCCTGACTTGTCCTCCTCAGTGAGCTGAGCCCTGAGTTCCTGAATGGTTGACTGAACAGCAGCTGTATCTCACAGACTGCAGTCAGAGATTTTACCAGGACTCCTGGTTTCTCTGAGCTGATCTGTGATGCTGAGGTCTTCCCTCTGAGGGCTGATCAGGATGGCAGCTGCTTTGGTCGACAGGGACGTTTGTAGTCCTGTATTTAGTTATTGAGGTGGTAGATTGTTACTGAACCAACAACTCCTGTGAAACATCCTCATCTCCTTCTTCCTCTGGACTCATGACCGAGTCATCTTCATCCTCATTTCATCAGTGGAGGAATTTGAACTCATCAGTCACTTTAATAAGGTGTGTCAGAGTGGAGTCGTTCATCTTCCTTAAAGTTGGTGTTTTCTCCACAGAGTTGAGCAGCAGAGCTCAGAGGTCCACAGTGATCAGTCTGCCCAGCAGCATCAACCAGACCTGGACTCCATCTTTATGGTCTGTACATGTACAATCACACTGTTACTGTTTAACTCCATCAACCACAGATTAAATGCTGAATTTCCATCCAGGTCCTAACAGTGTCCATGTTGCTGTGTTTAGACCAGCAGGCCTTCAGACTGACGCATGAGTCACATGTTGTGTTCTACCACTTTCAATCAAATGTTCACTTCATCATCTGTTCCAGCTGCTGGAGGAGAACATCATCAGTTTTGTGAAGAGCGAGCTGAAGAGAGTCCAGAAGGTCCTGAGACCAGATTACCCAGAATCCTCAGAGAGTCAGAGGGAGGAGGAGGAGGTGTTGGACGCTGAGGATGAAGAGCAGAAGAGGAGCAGAGAGGCATTTGTGAAGATCACAGTGAACTTCCTGAGGAGAATGAAGCAGGAGGATCTGGCTGACTGTCTGCAGAGCAGTAAGAGGATTTAACATGATGGAGAAATTAGACATTTACTAACATCAACACATGGAGGGAAACATGTTCATATACTCATTCTTTAGAGGGAAGAACTGATGAAATGTTGACTTTTTCTTCATTGATCTTATTTATTGTTTCTTCATTCAGGACATTTTGCTGCAGTTTGTCGACAACAACTCAAATCTAACCTGAAGAAGAAGTTCCAGTGTGTGTTTGAGGGCATCGCTAAAGCAGGAAACCCAACCCTTCTGAAGCAGATCTACACAGAGCTCTACATCACAGAGGGAGGGACTGGAGAGGTCAATGATCAACATGAGGTCAGACAGATTGAAACAGCATCCAGGAAACCAGTCAGACCAGAAACAACCATCAGACAAGAAGACATCTTTAAAGCCTCACCTGGAAGAGACGGACCAATCAGAACAGTGATGACAAAGGGAGTGGCTGGCATTGGGAAAACAGTCTTAACACAGAAGTTCACTCTGGACTGGGCTGAAGACAAAGACAACCAGGACATACAGTTCACATTTCCATTCACCTTCAGAGAGCTGAATGTGCTGAAAGAGAGAAAGTTCAGCTTGGTGGAACTTGTTCATCACTTCTTTACTGAAACCAAAGAAGCAGGAATCTGCAGGTTTGATCAGTTCCAGGTCGTGTTCATCTTTGACGGTCTGGATGAGTGTCGACTTCCTCTGGACTTCCACAACACTGAGATCCTGACTGATGTTACAGAGTCCACCTCAGTGGACGTGCTGCTGACAAACCTCATCAGGGGGAAACTGCTTCCCTCTGCTCGCCTCTGGATAACCACACGACCTGCAGCAGCCAATCAGATCCCTCCTGAGTGTGTTGACGTGGTGACAGAGGTCAGAGGGTTCACTGACCCACAGAAGGAGGAGTACTTCAGGAAGAGGTTCAGAGATGAGGAGCAGGCCAGCAGGATCATCTCCCACATCAAGACATCACGAAGCCTCCACATCATGTGCCACATCCCAGTCTTCTGCTGGATCACTGCTACAGTTCTGGAGGAGGTGTTGAAAACCAGAGAGGGAGGAGAGCTGCCCAAGACCCTGACTGAGATGTACATCCACTTCCTGGTGGTTCAGTCCAAACTGAAGAAGGTCAAGTATGATGGAGGATCTGAGACAGATCCACACTGGAGTCCAGAGAGCAGGAAGATGATTGAGTCTCTGGGAAAACTGGCTTTTGAGCAGCTGCAGAAAGGAAACCTGATCTTCTATGAATCAGACCTGACAGAGTGTGGCATCGATATCAGAGCAGCCTCAGTGTACTCAGGAGTGTTCACACAGATCTTTAAAGAGGAGAGAGGCCTGTACCAGGACAAGGTGTTCTGCTTCGTCCATCTGAGTGTTCAGGAGTTTCTGGCTGCTCTTCATGTCCATCTGACCTTCATCAACTCTGGACTCAACCTGATGTCAGAAGAACAATCAACCTCCTGGTTATCTAAAGTCTTCAGGGACAAGCCTGAACCAACACAACTCTACCAGAGAGCTGTGGACGAGGCCTTACAGAGTCCAAATGGACACCTGGACTTGTTCCTCCGCTTCCTCCTGGGTCTTTCACTGCAGACCAATCAGACGCTCCTACGAGGCCTGATGACACAGACAGGAAGTGGCTCAGAGACCAATCAGGAAACAGTCCAGTACATCAAGAAGAAGATAAATAAGAATCTGTCTCCAGAGAAAAGCATCAACCTGTTCCACTGTCTGAATGAACTGAACGCTCATTGTCTGGTGGAGCAGATCCAACAGTCCCTGAGATCAGGAAGTCTCTCCACAGATAAACTGTCTCCTGCTCAATGGTCAGCTCTGGTCTTCATCTTACTGTCCTCAGAAGAAGATCTGGACGTGTTTGACCTGAAGAAATACTCTGCTTCAGAGGAGGCTCTTCTGAAGCTGCTACCAGTGGTCAAAGCTTCAAAGAAAGCTGTGTATGTGAACATATATCCATCTACATTTCCTTTATCTTCTTCTTTAGTCACGGAAAAAAACAAATTTTTATACTTGTTTTCTTTTGTTCTGCTGATTCCTCTTCAGACTGAGTGGCTGTAACCTCTCAGAGAGAAGCTGTGAAGCTCTATCCTCAGTCCTCAGCTCCCTGTCCTCTAGTCTGAGACACCTGGACCTGAGTAACAACAACCTGCAGGATTCAGGAGTGAAAAGGCTGTCTGCTGGACTGGAGAGTCCACACTGTACACTTGAAGGTCTCAGGTTAGAGTTCAGCTGTTTCTCTTTACGACTCTGAGCTGTTATTCACTCAAAGCTTCTGCACATGATATTCACTGCCACTACATTTTATAAAGGCCTCGTTGGCCACGCCTCCCTTCAGTCACAACTCCCCTCTCCCTTTTTGCTCTCAGCAAGGAGTTATGTAGCTCAGTGACAGCGACGACTAAACAACCAACAAAGAAACCCAACTGAATAAAATGACCCTGTCTACATGATAACCATCAAAAAACAATCCAACCACAAACCCAATCACAAATTACTGTGATATGCTCCACGGTAATGCTGCCGTTAAGCTAACTAGTGATAGTAACATTGGCTGAAAACATTCATAAGATCAGTAAACAGTAAGTTAGCAAACGTTATCATGTCTTCTGTAGCTGTCACTAATGAAAACAGACATGAAACATTGTGAACCATCAAGTTACTTTTTCTATTTTCATCCGTAAGAACTGAACTTTGAGGTAGTTCTTTTAAAGTGTGAACTGGCACAACACTGATTATGAACCATCAAGTTACTCACACTGGAAACAGACTGCGTTCATACCGACTATACTGTTTGTCTGCATCTTCACTGCTGCTGCAGCTATATCTCTCTACATAGAGTCTGAAGGTTACTGGAGTGTTGGATTTGTTTTCATTATAAATGTATTCCTGATTTATTTTTGATAGAAAACATCTGTAAAATGTCACCAAATGCAGCTGCTAAAATGGTAAAAAAAAATGTGTGTATTATTTCATGTCTGTGTCATATTCAGATTCAGCTTAGACATAGAGGCTATAGTGGAAGGTGTCAGTTTTATGTGATTTTCCTGGTATGTCCTCTTCTTTAGTCATGGAAAAAAACACATTTTTATACTTGTTTTCTTTTGTTCTGCTGATTCCTCTTCAGACTGAGTGACTGTAACCTCTCAGAGAGAAGCTGTGAAGCTCTGTCTTCAGTCCTCAGCTCCCTGTCCTCTAGTCTGAGAAACCTGGACCTGAGTAACAACAACCTGCAGGATTCAGGAGTTAAGCTGCTGTCTGCTGGACTGGAGAGTCCACACTGTACACTGGAGACTCTCAGGTCAGGATACAGCTGTTTGTTAGAAAACTGATTTTCCTGCTTTAGGTTCTTGTTAGTGAAGATGTTCAACATCTGGAGGATTTTCCTGCTGACATGACTTTCTAAAACACTAAGTTCATCATATTTTCTAACTACAGTCTGTCAGGATGTCTGATCACAGAGGAAGGATGTTCTTCTCTGGCCTCAGCTCTGAGCTCCAACCCATCCTATCTGAGAGAGCTGGACCTGAGTTACAATCATCCAGGAGACTCAGGAGTGAAGCTGCTGTCTGTTGGACTGGAGGATCCACACTGGAGACTGGAGACTCTCAGGTATGGAAAGACAAGATTGTGATGAAATGTGAGAAGATGTGCAGGATGGCGAGAGACCCTTGTGATCTCAGTGACCCCTGAATTTTCCTCTAGAGCTACCATGAGATTGTTATTTGTGGTCCAGACTGAAACATCTCAACAAATATTGGATGATTGTGATGAAATGTGGTTCAGACGTTCATGTTCCCCTTTCATTCATGTTGTTACATGAACTGTAATAACCTTGGTGATCCTCTGACTTTTCATCTAACGCAATCATCAGGTCAACATGTTAATTTGTCCACTACTTTCGTTTCAAGTCTATTTTCCACCTCAAACACCTTTTCTATTTATATTCTTGATTATTGCACATTTGAAGTCAAAACAAAGAACAAACACATATTCATTTAATTACATTACAAAAGCTTTGCTGGAACTTCAAAATTATAATTTAACAGTAAGAAATATTCAGTTTTTAACATTAAATTCTCAAGTCAAGTCAATGGACTTTGATTTATCAGATCCTAAAATCCTAAACTTTCCTCAGAGGGCTTTACAATCTGTCCAGCATACGGCCTCTCTATCATTAGAGCCTCTGTTGCAAACATGTAAATGACACTAAACACATTGAATCTGCTGTTAAACTGATCTGTGAACAGTCTGTAAACTGTTGAGTTGTTCATGTGAAAATTCAGGTCAAACTTCATTTTCAGGGGCAACTTGCAGAGACCAATATTTCCCATTCTGTTGAATCATGTAGGAAGACATCAATAAAAACACAGAGCAGATCAGTGGTGACTCTTATTGTTTGTACGTCACATTATCTTCTTCTTCTTCTTCACATCTTTTCCTCACAGACACCAGTGAAAGAAACAAGGAACCAGTTCAGACTGATGAGTTTCAGCCTGTTTCTGTGTCACACTGACAAACTGAGAAACACTGCTTCATGTTGAACAGCAGTTAGGACTCATGTTGGATAGAAAATCATTCTGACTGTTTCTTCCTCCAGGGTGGACCATGGTGGAGAGCACAGGTTAAAACCTGGTCTCAGGAAGTGTAAGTGTGGATTTAATGTGACTAATGATGAGCAAACAGCTGACTGTCAGTTTGTCTTTAAACACAATGTTGATGGTTGTAGAATGGGATGGATAACTCAGAGCTAGGGTTGGTTATAGGTGATTTGCATTCACCCAGGGAATGTCGATTAGAACATTGGAATGATGACGCAACTGATGAGATGGTCACAGGGTTTATTGTTGGTTGAGTGTGGTTCTGCAAACACAAATATAATGTCATATCACAACAGGCTCTGCAACAACTCTCCATCTACACAAGCACTTGACATAATTACAGGTCACAACAATAATAAGTATAAAGAAATACTAATCATTTCACATCTCAAATTAAAATGCTATACAGCCTGACAAGGAAACACATGTATAAATACAGACAGACTGTTTCATTAAAACTGAACAACCTTTTTAATTCTCTCAAGGAGTCTCTCCCTGTACAACTAAACATTCACTGTGCATTGCATGGTCTTATGGTGCCATCTAGTGGCCAAACCTACTAATGGCAGCAGCACCGGTGGTACATAATCTAAAAGAACGGCTGCCACATTATTTACCGCACTCGCCAACGGTACGTGGCGACTCCGAACAAGACGTGACCGAAATAACATGAACCAAACACTAGACAACCTGAACTCAGTGAGGTCAACTCGGCATTTCAACGTGTATTCAACTACATTACCCCCCCTGAGCCAATTGACATTAACCAGCTTACAATAGTTCAGACTTCGCATGAGTGATTTCAACCACTAACAGAATAAACTGTATACCTAGGTGAATGGAAATATTATAGTCAACACTTACTTCTTGTCATGCACGCACAAAAGTCCCAACAACAAGGCGAAGTCGACTTTCTCTCGCAACTCTTGTGGGGAAGAAGACCCGACCATGTTACACTCGTCACTTCCTGAATGAGGCCTTCATTTCCACCAAACCCTCCGTTTGGGCATGCACGCCTCAGCCGCTGAGGTGCCAGGCAACCAAACTGATTGGCATATTGTCACATATGAAACTTATAATTAACAACACATTCCCCAACAACACAATAATTACTATAAACAACATTAAAGAACTGTAATTGAACTACCTACATTGGCACATAGGGGCCTTTTATACAATAGTTGTGGTATTTATCCATTCAAACGTTACTGATGAGAGATGTCTGACTACATGTGTCACTGATAACTTTTACAGGAAATAATAACAATCAGTCAGTAATCAATCAATAATCCATCAGATGAGTCAGATGATAAACTGTCTTGTTCTCTCCATCAGATTCCTGTGAACTGGAACTGGACACAAACACAGTGAACAGAAACCTCAAACTGTCTGACAACAACAGGAAGGTGACATGTGTGAGAGAGGATCACTCATATCCTGATCATCCAGACAGGTTTGACTGGTGGCTTCAGCTGCTGTGTTCAACTGGTCTGACTGGTCGCTGTTACTGGGAGGTCGAGTGGAGAGGAGTGGTTGATATATCAGTGAGTTACAGAGGAATCATAAGGAAAGGAAAGAGTGAAGATTATGTGTTTGGAAGAAATGATCAGTCCTGGAGTCTGAGCTGCTCTGATGGTCGTTACTCTGTCTGGCACAATGACAGAGAAACATCCATCTCCTCCTCCTCTGTCTCTGACAGAGTAGCAGTGTATGTGGACTGTCCTGCTGGCTCTCTGTCCTTCTACAGAGTCTCCTCTGACTCACTGATCCACCTCCACACCTTCAACACCACCTTCACTGAACCTCTGTATCCTGGGTTCAGGTTCTGTACCTTTGGCTCCTCAGTGTATCTGTGTTGAGTGTAGGAGGGAGAGTCTGGAAGTGACAGCAGCTTCAGTCCTGTGGTTTAAATGTTGGTGGTGGACGAGGTTTCAATTTGGTTTCCATTTGATTTACTGATTGTGACTTTATGAACTTCTTGTGTTCACACTGTGTTGACTCTGACTTACTTCTGTAACATTTCTGCAGCAGTGTCTCGTAGCTTCTCATGTTGTTGTCGTGTAGTTCTCTAATAACAGACGTCCTACTTGTGTGTTTGGTTTATGGAGGGGTCGTTCTGCATGAAGAGTCCTGTCAGCACCATCACAGATACAGAGCAATCCAATCCAATCCAGCTTTATTTATAAAGCACTTTAAAAAACAACCAGAAGGTACCAAAGTGCTGTACATGATAAAATTATAAACACAAGATAAATTAAAAGACATAAAACATCAATAAAAACAGATATATAATAAGAGAAAACAAAAAATAACATAAAATAAGATAAAACAATAAAATAAAATGACATCTTACAGGGTGTCAAAGGCCATGGAAAAGAGATGGGTCTTAAGAAGGGATTTAAAAACAGACAAGGAAGACGCCTGTCTAATGTGCAGAGCCAGAGGTTTTGGCACCCTCAGGAGCAGCTGATCAGATGACCTGAGAGAGCGGGTGGGAGAATATGGGTGCAGCAATTCAGAGAGGTAGGGAGGGACGAGACCATTGAGAGATTTAAAAGCAAATAAAAGAATTTTAAAATGAATCCTAAAATGTATGGGCAACCAGTGAAGTGAGGCTAAAATGGGGGAAATGTGGTCATATTTGCGTGTGCCAGTTAAAAGACGTGCAGCAGCATTTTGTACCATCTGGAGACAGTTAATGGAGGACCCACTAACCCCCGCATAAAGTGCATTGCAGTAATCCAGCCGTGTGGTGACAAAGGCGTGGATTACTGTCTCAAAGTGCTGCTTTGAAAGAATTGGCTTTATTTTGGCCAGCTGCCTCAACTGGTAAAAACTTGACTTCACAACTGTCTTGATCTGATTGTCAAGTCTGAGGTCAGGGTCCACCTTAACTCCCAAGTTAGTGACGTTGGATTTTAGGTATTGAGCCAAGGAACCTAGATCTAGACAGAGGGTCTCGGAGCTGCCACCAAAAACAATCACTTCTGTCTTCTTTTCTTTAAAATTTAAAAAAATTAGAGCCATCCAGGCCTTTATGTTGGCAAGACATTCAAGTAAAGGTGTGACAGAGAATGCTTGATTCATTTTAAGAGGCATATAAACCTGAGTGTCATCTGCATAACAATGAAATAAAATACCATGCTTCCTAAGTATGGAACCAAGCGGGAGCAGGTACAAAGAAAAGAGAAGAGGGCCTAGGACTGAGCCCTGCGGGACACCACATGACAGAGGAGCAGAGGAGGATACAGAGTCACCAAGGCCCACACAGAAAGTTCGAAGCCTCAATACCGACGGTCTGTGGAGCATTAAGAATGGAGTCGATAGTCTTAAACAGAACACGAGGCTTATGACAGTTTGACAAAATAATATCAGAGAAATGTTTAGTCTTAGCATCTTTCACAGTTGTCTGATATTTACGCCAGCACTCTAGTAACATTTGAAAAGACACTTGTAGTTTGTTTCTCTTCCACTTGCGCTCAGCTCTATGGCACTGGCGTCCGACAGCACGAGTAGTGTCATTTAGCCAGGGTTCACATTTAGTTTTAGGCAGCCTAATTTTTAATGGAGCCACAGTGTCTAAAACTATTTGGCAGGAGGAGTGAAACCATGAACTAAGCTCGTCCGTGTCGTTATACATTGATTCAGGAACGACACAGCTCTGATTAAAAACGGCCGAGAACTGACCAGCAGTGGAAGGGTTAATGACGCGACAGCACCGGGCAGCAGCAGTGCGAGGTTTAACTGTGTTACCGGCAACAACAACATCAAACAGTACAGGCATATGGTCTGAAAACAATGCGTCACAGATCTCCAAAGTTAATAACAGGCAAACCATATGATAAAACGAGATCGAGTTCTTGTGTGGGACCAGAAACAGACTGTACTAGATTAAAAGAGTCAATGAGGTTAAGAAAGTCCTTCACCATAGGCTTATCAGGACAACACGCATGAACATTAAAATCCCCAACAATAAGGACACGGTCATACTTGGGCATAATTTCAGCCAGGAAATCAGAAAAGTCACTTATGAAGTCCTTATTGTATTTGGGAGGTCTGTAGACCACTGCACACAACACTGTGTGAGGGCGAGCCAGCTCAAATAAACTCAGCTCAAAGCTGGTGAAGGAGGACGACAGAGACAGTTGCTTACATTTATAATAACTTTTATAAATAGTCGCTATTCCTCCTCCTCCTCCTCCTCGGCCCGAGGTCGGGGGGGAGTTAAAATAGCAGCAATCCCCAGGTAAAAGTTCTGTGAGGCCGCTGGACTCACCAACAGCTAGCCACGTCTCAGTCACACAGAGAAAATCCAGTCCTCGGGAAGTAAGGAAATCCTTCAGGATGAAAGTTTTGTTCGCTAGCGACCTAGCATTGACGAGCCCAAACCTGGCAGGAGTCGGAGGATCCACGGTAGTAACCGTCACAAAGGCCGTAGGTTGCACAAATTCACCCTGCGCCAGCGAGGCCGAGGAAAGCAGGGGCCGCAGGGCTGAAGCATCTCATCCGGGCCGACGACAGGTACCAGCCAGGCGTCGACATGGTCCAGCAATCGTCGAGAAATAACGAGGCGAGGAACCGCTCCATACTTAGTCCAAGAAACCTTTGACGGGCGCGATAAACAGGCCTTCAGCCTTACCAGTCGACCGCTGCATTTACCCCGGCGGCGGTGGCGTTTAGGCCGGAGGGATAGAGCTGGGATACGGCAGAGGTGAGCTGGGATCTCCGATAGGAAAGGGGGCAAAGACTTTTGTCCACCATGATCAGACCCCACCAGATCTTTGGCAGAAACTTGAATGTCCAACAGTGTTTGGCGATCATACACCAGTAGCGAGTAGACATTTAGACTGACAAGTGACAGATAGAGCACAAACACACATAACGCTGGCAGAGACAGACGGCAGGCCACGCACACTGGCGCCATCTTGAACAGGAGATGATTGTATTTCACCAGGTTTTACACCTGGACACAAAAAACAGAAGGAACGAGTCGTTCTCTGCAGCCGACTTCTGAAACATGTCATCAGTTCAAAATCATGTGACATTCATGACTTTTCTTAACCCTCCTGATGTTTTTATATTCTGTAAACTCCCCCGGCCTCCAGGGTCAACATTAACCCCCCCACCACCACACTGATGAAGAGAGAAAAGCTAGTTCAGTTCAAAGATTATTCTTGTTCATAGTGATCTTTACCTCAAACTGCTGTATCTGCTCTGATTGACAGATGATGTAACCCAGCTGAATAAAACAAATAAACTATTATAAACAACCCAACTATTGACTGTAGTTTCAGTTTAATACTTTTATTTGTGTTAGTTGATATAACAGTTGTGATAACTTGGTCAAATCTTTTGTTTCACTCTTTCCCGCCACTAAATTTAACAACGTTTTACAGTGTGTTGTGAGAGCGAGCGCGAGGTGGTTCAGAGAGAGTTGAGCTGCACTGAAGTCAAGAAACGGTAGGAACTAAGTGAAAACAGTTATTGAAGTCGAGCAGATATCAGTTGACAGAGAAACGGTTTATCTGCAGGAGCCACGAGACCACCGGAAGTGTCGGTTTTAGATTCACTTAACCGCCGCGGTAAGCTAGCGTCACGATAGACGGTAAATATCTTCACATTCCTCGGTAAGCTAGTGTCACCTGTCTCGGTAAGCTAGCAACAAAGTTATCTCCATGTAGAGTTGGTTCCAGCAGTTTACTGTATGTTGTGAATATCAAAGGTGTAAAGAGAAACGTACTGAAGCTTAAAATGTAAGTTTCATGTAATATTCATGTTACAGAAAGAGAAATAAACGTGATGCTAGAGATGATTAATGATTTGTCAGCAGTGTTTTTGATAAGAAACGGTGAACTACAGAATTTAGTTTTACTGTTTCTAAGAGCATTTAGAAAAATTATGCTTACTGAGGCGCTGAAACAGGTTCTCTGTATAGGAAAATACAGTTTTACAGTCAGTGAGAAACTAAAGTCTGAATAGTTTATGTGTAACATCTGTTTTATTGAGTATCTAAATATTAGTTCAGCTGAAACAGTTTAATTCTAAATACATATATATTTGTACTGTGTCAATATTAAGCACACTTTGTTAGAATCAATTAATTCTGATGTCATTGAGAGTTTGGAAATTGAACTAGAGAGTAACAAATACATTTCAGTATGTGGTGTTTACATTCAGTTGTCACTTTGATGTAATGATGTAGTTTGATGTTGTACAACATAAGAGGAACATTAGATGAAACATAATGAATCCCAGACGCCAAGTATCAATCTTTTATTGTATGAATTGCTTACACGAACTGAACTTTTTGGTATTTCAATGATAAAATCAATTGCTTTCACTAGATGGTGGAGCGGAATTTTTTTCTGGTGAGGTCAGCATAGGTGACGGTCAGTGTGGGGAGGAAGTTGTTAAAACAAATATGGAGGCATTGGAGAAAGACTGCGTTTGAATCGAACGTTGGTTTTTTAACAAAGAAGGAATTAAGGAGATGGATATGACACATGGGATTTGAAGTGTTGTATGAAAATAAAATACTCGGGGAATACTGCAAACCTTAGCACTCATCTCACACAGCACCACCCATAGAATCAGCTTCATTCAGCTCCACTGGAAAGCCAACCAACACTGGACACACTTAGCTCAGCAAAGCTTCCTCCCAATGATCCAGAACGATCTAACCCTGCATGTTAGAAAGCACGTGATTTATCACGTGAAGTGCTGAAGCATTTGGGGGCACCTGGCTGTTGTCGCTGACGACGCTTCTACAGACAGAGTGGCACAGATATCTTCACCCTGAATGAGACAGATATCAGGAACACCGAAGGAACTGAGGTCGATGCAAGTGGCGACCATAGCTGTCGCACAGGACAACATTAGCGACACAGCGCTGGTCAGAGACATCAAACAGAGCACCATACAAGATCTGAAGAAGAGATATACCAGTGCAGTAGAGACGAACATCAACCCCTTGACCCCCGGTGTAAGACCCTGCTGCTCCTGTCCCTAGAGGAGAGACAGGAAACCTGCACCAGAGGCTGGAACGCTTCAGGTAAATAAACATTTAAAGAATAATACTGGTAGAATATATTCTAAGACTTAGATTATAATCTGTTAGTTTCCCACATTAAAATGTCTAAAAACAACTAGATCTATGTTCTGTATTTATTTGAGTTGTCTTCTTACATTATCACCAATATTTCCAACAATCTTCAAACCAGAGACATCACTCCAGTGACTGGTGATGGGGGGGGGGCAGACCTCCTCCACTCACCACAGGCTCCTCTACAACACACACACACACACTCACACACACACACACACACACACACACACACTCACACACACTGACAGGCTGGGCAGGGCCGTCACATCAGATTTTAGTAGATTTCAGATTTGTAATTCATTTCTTGTTTTTCCCTCCAGCATTAGATGGAATTGGTGAATGATTGCTTTCATCTGAAGCACACAGCGACTGAGTGGATCCACCATGGACGTTCCTGGTCTCGATCATATGGACCAGTTTGTCCAGTATCCAGTATCAGTTGCCCAGCAGCCATCACTGTTTATCTACCTCCACCAGCCTCACTAATATTCACACTAATATTCACCACCACCGTGTCATCGTTCGTCTTCACACACAGCAGTTATGTAACTGTGTCAGAGCAGTGGATCTCAGCTCAGTCTTCACTCTCCCGTCCTGCAGTCTGAAAGTTCACGCTTCAGCGACATCATTCTCCTCCTACAGCCGAGACACACACACACACACACACACACACACACACACACACACACTCACACTCAGCTTGTCTTTTTTCCCTCTGTACTGAAAGCAGAGCTCCTCACAGGCTGAGACTGAAGCTGCTTCTCAGTCAGTCGGAGAGTTCATCAGATAATCAGAGTTTATTAAAGTTCATTAAAGCCGTCGGGGAGTTTGTGAACAGAGATGTACTCACAGTACTGGAGCTCAGCTCGGGGACACAGACCGGATTACAGGAGATACACAGTGAGTATCAGACTCATCTCTGGATTCTGGCTCGACACTGGTGTTTGATTAAACTCGCTCTGCTTTTATTTTGAAGTCAAAGTCATGTGACCTCAGGTGATTTTTCTGTCTGTCTCTGGTGCCGCAGGTGAAGCTAGCGAGTGTGTGTGGAGGTTTAGCTGTGATGATGACTGCTGTCGATCATTTGTTCCTCCTCAGTCGTTGTTCAGAGCTGCAGATGAAGCCTCACCCTGCAGCTTCTCAGAACTGCTCTTACTTCACACTTCGACTCAGCCTCCGTTCAGAGGGAGAGCTCGTCCTAATACAGCATGTGATAAACACATACTGAGAATAATGAAATACTCAGCCTGTCACAGAAATATCAGTTTATGTTCTGATATGAAAGTTTGTCTTTTTAAACGACATAATGTAGAAAAAGACTAGATGTCGTTTAATCATGTTTGAGCAGAGACGTCAAATTCTACATTTCACAAATAACAGCAAAGATTTCCCTTGATTCATCTGACAAACTTTTACTGTGATACTGTGACTACAGGAAGTACTTTTACTGTGATACTGTGACTACAGGAAGTACTTTTAATGTGAAACTGTCACAACAGGAAGTACTTTAACTACAGGAAGTACTACTAGTTTTACTTCCTGTGGTTCAACAGTTACATGTTGTCTCCTGCTCTGAGGAATCATGTGACAGACACTGAGTTTCCATTGTCTTGTGCAGGTGGTGGAGGGCAACACTCCTCTTCCTCTGGGCTCCACGTGCCGCAGGAAGCGTCTTCGTTCTGCAGGAGAGGAGGACGATGAGGAGGCGAGGAGGAGCTGCGCGTCCAGGCCGAACCCCGAAGGCTCGCTGTCAGCCAGCGAACTGAGCTGCTACGGCAAGCCGGAGGAGGAGGGGGAGGAGCTACAGAGGCTGTGTCAGCGCTGCCACATCATGGCGTCACAGCTGAAGAGACAAGCTGCTGCTCTGGCCGACTCCTCGGCCCTGAAGGTCAGCAGCAACACCACACTGTCACAACTGTCTCACACAGGTAGACCCTCATACACTCTGATTGCCTGGAAGGAGGAGAGGGGCGGGACTGATCAGGTGAGTCAGTGTAAGACACTTTAACAGTAGAGTGAGGACAGGAAGTGAGTCAGACACAGAAGTATGCAACGTCCCAAACCAGGTTCACGGTGGTCCCCTCAGCTACGAGGCCTCCCGGACCTTGGTTCTGCAGCTGAATCAGGTCAGGTGGTCCAGTCTGGTCTGGGTCAGGTGGTCTGGTTCAGTCTGGTCTGGTCCAGTCTGGGTCAGGTGGTCTGGTCTGGTCTGGTTCAGTCCAGTCCGGTCTGGTGGTCTCTGCAAAGACTCTGATCTTCAGTTGTTCATTTGACATCACAGACGACACCTGTGTGTTGCTGAGGGAGACGTACAGGTAAACACACAGCGTCACCTGAAGGTCCCTCAGGTCCAGGTCCTGGTCCTGGTCCCTGTGTGGACTCTACAGTCCAGGATCTCTGCAGAACCTGGACTGGGATGTGGTCTGAGCGGACTGTGCAGGCCCAGGACTGTGACGCTGAACTCCTCTGTCAGGTCATCACAGCAGCTCACATCTCTGCTGGGGCGAGAGAGCTTCACTTTCTGTGGTGTTACCTCTCTCTCTCTCTCTTTGATCTGTTCAGTGATCTGACTTCACTGCCTCTCTCTCTTCACTGTCTCTGCTGCTTGATCGCCCACTCTGTCTCTCTCTCAGTTGGTCAGTCAGTGGCTCCTTACTTTGTTGCACACACACACACACACACACACACACACACACACACACACTGGTATCAGTGTGTTAAAGGTTGCTGGTTTGTTCACTTTATCCACAGGCTCAGAGATTAAACTCTATGTCTTTAATTTCCATTAATGAAATATACATTTTTATTTTATCTGTAATATATGTAAAAAATGATATATGAAACCTGTTAGAACAATGTCATATATTGACATATATATCCAGCCTGTACAAATATGATTATATATATATATATATATATATATATATATACAGTGGTGGCCGAAATGATTAGATCTGACACAGATCTGAAAATATTGACGCTGTTTTTTTTGCCTCCAAAACATGATTTCATTTCACAATGTTAATGAAACATGCAGATGGTTGCTGCTGAATACAACAAATATCAGATGAAGTGAGTCACTACATCTGTTTTTTAATCCAACTGTTAACTTTAATATCTGGTATGTCCACCTTTTGCAGCAATTACAGCAGCACATCTCTCTGGCATAGTGTCAATATATTTCCTGGGAACTTCAACACTAATGTTACCCCATGCCTTCTGCAACTCAAGCCAAATGCTTTCCTTTGAATGTAGGAAAGCATTTGAAACAATAGATCTGTCCAGTTTATTTTCCAACTCGCTCCAAATTTGCTCGATGGGGTTGAGGTCTGGACTTTGAGGGGGCCCGTTCATCATTTTCAATGTTCCAGCAGATTCCTTCTGTCGCAGGTAGCTCCGGCAATAGTTAGAATAATGTTTAGGGTCATTGTCCTCTTGGAAAATAAATCCAGGCCCAATAAGACAACTCCCAGATGGTACTCCGTGCCTCACCAGAATGTGGGGGTATACTTTCTTATCCATGATGCCATCAAGTCACCCGTTCCTGAGGCTGAAATGGCACCTCACACCATAATACTACACCCTCCGTGTTTAACTGTTGGCAAAAGACACTCATTTTTATATCTCTCCCCCTCCCTCCGTCGAACATACACTCTTCGCTTGTTGCCAAACTGTTCAAACTTGGACTCATCAGTCCACAACACTTTATACCAATCTTCCTTTGTCCATTTCTTGTGTTCTTTTGCAAATTTCAGGCGTTTCACTCTATTTGTCTCTTTCAGTGATGATTTCTTTGCTGCTATTCTGCCAACAAGTCCTTCTTCTCCCAGTTTCCGACACACAGTTCTTGAGTGTCTTCAAGAACCATTAGTCATTGTGGTGTTGATCTCGTCACGCAGTTCTCGTGAGGTCTTTCTTTTTGAGATGCTTCACATGTCTGTTTGAAAGTTTATTTTTTCTACCTCTCCCCTTTCAGTTCTGGTGTGAATTGGTGGCATAATGGCGGTCTAAAGTGTACTTCACAGTGCTTGGACTGCATCTGAAGTCCTTGGCTATGCGGCGGTAACTCCAGCCAGCATCAAAAAGGGCCTTTATTCGAACCCTTCTTCACCTTAGCCATGTTCAAAGAGTAACATGTGCTTCAAGACTACTTCTAGAGGCTTTGAATTTATATCAATTGGTGGTGTGGCCTCAGTGACAAAACCCTGATGTTACCAATCACTTAACGAGCAGGAGAGGCCTTGTACATTCAAAAGAGTCACACAGCTGTGTCCTAAGACTCTTGCATCACCATCAATTTAACCACGATCACACCTGACAATGATTACACAAGTAATTTGGCTTCTTCTGTGAAGGAACATGATTGTGTGACATTGATGACCTAATGACCTAAATCTCCTTATGATGGCTCTATTCTATGGTTTATAGAGCATGATGAAGACTTTGTAGATATTTTATTCGTTTTATGGGTATTTTTATGGCTGATTCAACAAAAACAACTGAAACCTCTTAAATATGCCAAGTGTTCTAATAATTTTGGCCACCACTGTATGTATATATTATAGTCATATATTACATAAATATACATCCAGCCTGTTAATATATGTAGATATTATAAACAGTTCAAAAGTCTGATACATGTTTAAGATTAATGAGAAATGAATATATGATGATGATAACACACACAAATACTAACACTACACCAGACACCTTGTACCGGACCTCTGTTGTCATGGTTACAATAATAAACACACCCAGCAACAAAACGTAACCATGGGCGATGATAACCTGCTGCACAGATGACCTGTGGGCTTCATACAGGAGGCGAATGAACAGTTAGATGATGATGGCCCAGCATGCACTGCAGGACACCTTGATCCAGGAAAATGATCTCCAACAAATGAAGCTGTCACCATGACGCAGCAGATTCAAACCGTAGCAGAGGAGGAGGTCAATGACCTGACCTGGTATTCATGGGAGTCAGCCGGCCATTTTGGATTTTCATAATGAGGTTTCTAATCAGCCTCCACTGTGTCGTCTCTGCTCCATATGCGGCAGGGTTTAAACCCCCCAGGCCCCGCTCTGCTCTCTGGGTTGGGGCTGGAACAGACCGGACTCCTCTGATGCTTGTTAGCGTAGCGAGGACTGACTCTGGGCTCGGGACGCGGCTGGCTCGTCCTCTCCTGAAGGTGATGAGTGGTGACACGGCGAGGACGAGCGAGGAGGAGGCGGCTGCAGTGGAGCGAAGTGAGGGAACGGGGAGGGGAGTTAGTGGAACAGGGCTGGACTGATATCTGGGTCTGATAATCCATTTATTTACAGCTGATCTGGTCTGACTGATTGATTGATTGATTGATCAATCCTTCCCGGTTGTGTGGTTGCAGAATTCGATTCAACCACCAGGGGCAGCGAACAGAGCTGCTGCTCCCTCAGCCTAATGTTAGGTCACACCTACCCCAGTGTGCAGCTGTTCCCGCCCTTACTGTTGCATCACAAAGCGCGGCTCCTGTCGCCTAGCAACCTTGACAACACGTAACTTTTTCTCATTAAAACCTTCTGTTGTACTGTTGAGCTGAATGACAACACTGACATTAACAGTGTCGTCCTCAGACTCTCTGTCACTGTCTGCTGCCATTACCGCCTCGCAATGAACCTTGGGATATGTTGGACCATGAAGGATCCACCTGTTGGAACCTTTAACATGAGGCAGTCTAGTCGCCGTGACATGGTTGGTCCTCTGTGACCTGGGACCCAGCGTCCGTCTCTGTCTCCGCTGTAGAAACAGAGTCCAGCCCGTCCTCAGTTCTGCTGCCTGCAGGTTCAGATCAAATGAAAGCCTGTGAAGAGCCGTTTCCCAGCAGCCCTCCTGATTAACGAGATAATTAGAGCGGAGGGAGGCGACGAAGTTCAGCTCTCACCTTCAGCAACATCAAACACTTTAAAGAGTCGTTAGCATTCAGAACACTCAGTGTGTTGATTAATGTGAGCTAATCCACTTCCTCTGAGCTGGAGGAGAATAATCTGAGGAGTGAGACGTCACTGGGGTTTCTGTGTCTCCGCTTGTTAGAGGAGCCAGAAGACTGATGTCTGCCTGCTGCCATGGTGACTAACGCGCCGCTGCCATGGCGACTAATGTTCTGTAGACATGAGAGAAGTCTGCAGCCAACGATTGTCTTCATTATTGATTAATGTTTGATAAATAGATTAAATTGTTTGATTTATAATGTGTCAGAAAATACGTAATCACCTTTTAGATCAGTTTAGATTAGATCAAGATCAGATTAGATTAGATCAGATTAGTTCTGATCAGATTTGATTAAATCACAGATCAGATTAGATCAGATCTGATTAAATCAGCTCAGATTAGATCAGACAACACTAGCACAGATGAGGGTTTATGGGGCTTTGGTACCAGACCAGTATCTTCCAACACGACCCACCAAAACCACATGGCCCATGTGACTGTTTGAGATCCAGCTGAGATCAAATAAAACACAGCAGCTGTGAAGTGTCAGATTGTGAGTGACTGATGGTTTTTAACTGGATATTTAATCCAGTTTATTCTAATTAATTATTTTGTTTTATAAGCGTTCAGATTGTAAGAGATTTAGATTAAAAGACAGAACTCACCTCAACGATCACATCATGAAGAACTGCACCAGCTCATTTCTAAAAATCACTTTACATGTTCAAATAAGTTTGTTTTGTTTTTTTTACAAGTATTTAACCTCATTACCCATAAGCCTTTGGGAGCTGTAGTTTTTTGTGTGTTAAAGTGATTGTTGTTTGATTTAGTTAAAATCACAAATGTGGTGGAGCTGGTTTGTGTCAGTCACAGAGAGGGTCAGAAGGTCAGAGGCTGACAGGATGTGACATCAGGAGACCCCCCCTCCCTCCCTCCCTCCCTCCTCACCCAGCCCCCCCCCCAGACAGAGGTTAGAGTCAGAGAGGAGCAGCCTGCTAGTCTGGACTCAGATGGTCCAGAACTGGAGCAGCTTCAGGATCAGACTGAGGATCATAAACCTGCAGGACTCTCCAGGTAACTTCCTGTTAGTTCTCCATCAGATATTTAATGTTGTTTAAAGAGCTGCTGAGAAACAAGTTCTTTTATTGATCAGAGGAAACGTGCAGGAACTCAGTTAATATATCAAACATTAAACCAGATTGTTATTTATGGAGGTAACAGGGAAAAGGTTCTATACATTTAAAACTTATTAATTATTCTTTTTGTTATTTAATAAATCAAGTGATTTGAGTAAAGAATCAGTAGAAAAGGCGAAAATTTAAAAGTTAATTTGGCAAATTTCTGTTTGTTGATAAAGAATTTAACATTTAGATTTATGAAGTGACGTAGATATTCATTTGGATTATCATAGTTACAAATAACATGTTTAGGGTTGAAGCAGTGAGGCTCTGGATCTCTAGAACTTCTGGGATATTTCACGCTCAGAAAACAGGATCCTGTTTAGAAAAGGTAAAAGAATCAGTGTCCGCAGATCTGGAAATAGATATTAACTGCTGACATGGACTTCTTGTTGTTTGTTACAAATCTGAGAGACTCAAAGTGATGTTCAAGATAAGAGTAGATTAAAGAAATTTTACCTTATGAATATGAAATTTTCTTCATAAAATCAGCAGGGTAACAATATTAAATGAATTATATTATATTATTATATTATAATATGTTTTGATCATATTTAACTTCAAAGTCTTTCCAGAAAAGTTAGTTAGGAAAGCAACAAGTTTCACTTCCTGTTGATTCATCAGTGATGTCATCAACGCTGCACAGTAACGAGCATGTTAATGAGCAGCTGGAGAACAGATGTTGCTGCTGAACGTAGCTCTTCCTTCTGCGTCTGAACGCGGCAGAAGAAGAGAGTCTGGGCTGTAAAGCATCACGGCGTCTGTGTGGAGTCAGCTGACACTGAATCACTGACCTGCATTCAGCTTCAGTGACTCGTGTCGGCAGCAGGTCAGAGCCTGACAGAGCGCACTGTAAATCTCCACACGCTGACGGGCTTTATGTCCTGCTGCTGCCGCCGTAGACCTGTGTGTGTGTGTGTGTGTGTGTGTGTGTGTGTGTGTGTGTGTGTGTGTGTGTGTGTGTGTGTGTGGAGCAGCTGCTGGGTGGTGGATCAGGAGCAGCTGCTGAACCATAAAGATCCAAAAACAAAACAAATGTGCTGAATACTATGACAGAGAATCAGGGCCAAGAATAAAGTCATAATTTTGAGAATAAAATCACATTATTAATTAATATTAAGAGAATAACGTTGTAATTTTACTTTCCGTGTTGTTTTAGAGGGAAACATGCGAAGCTTTAAAATGAGTCTGACATGACTCTATTGTATTGTCAGACAGACAAACAGCAGCTGACTGTCCTTTCACCTGTTTGATTGGTTGATGTATGATTGATTGATGATTGGTTGATCAGTCTGGACCAATCAGACGCCTCCTGATGCTGATGATGATGATGGAGATGAGTCTAAAGGTTTAACACAGCCCTGTGTGTGTTTCTATCGTTACCTCAGTCGAGGAAATTGTGTTTGCAAAAGGTCCTGAATCAGGTTCTGGTCCAGGGAAGAACCCGTTCAGGTTTTGGGGCTGATCCAGAACATAGTGAGATTTTTCCAACATTTCCATCAGTTGCTCAGGATCTGGATCATCTGAGTCCAGATCTGATCTGGATCTGGATCTGGATCTGGAGCTGACACATGTTTGGTCTTGGTGGGGGTAAAAGTAAATAAGTGTGTAACATGTTAGACTCTGGTTCATCATCTGTGTTGTCTGTCTTTACCCCCCCCCCCTCCAGGACCTGGCCTACGCCTCCTTCCTTTTCGATAAGCTCCAGCGCCTCCAGTGGCCTCGTCGCAGCCGCCATGCTACCGTCGACGCCCGCTGCGACGTCTGCGCTGCTTCCTTCCAGCAGCTGAGGCGCCTTGCACTACGTCAGGCTCTGGGCATCAGCAGGGAGATGACGCCTCACCCTGACACCCCCAGCGCCCCTCCCACCCCCAATACCTGCAACCCCCCGGCCTCAGAGAGCAGCTGGGTGGGTGACGAGCTGCCGGTGAAGCAGCAGAGATGGTTGTACGAGGGGCAGCGACAGGGGGGCGGGGCTCTGTGGGGATGGGGCGGAGTTCAGAGCACCTACCTTGGTGGGGGCGGTGCCAAAGGGCTGGCTACAGTTACCCCCCTCCCCCTAGATGCACACCACTACCTGGAAGGAGTGTGGAGCGTCTCCTGCTGCAGTCCTGAACACCAGCACACTACAGTAAGCAGGGAGGGACACGCTGCATGTCATTTATAAAGCCAATAGATCATTTCATCACGTTACTCTCCACCGTGGATTAGATGCTCCTTTTTATTCTCAAAGAGGCAGGAAGCACAGAGCAGCACCAGGAGACTGGGTCCAGGGTTCCATGGACCGCCAGGCACACCGGGACAAATCCTGGTGCACCGTCACAAAAATCTGTGTCTGTCGCCCAGGCGACGACCTCCGAGTCATGATGCTTAACGGATGCTAACAGGAGCATATGTTCACAGTCCCAACACGCACAGAGGTCTCAGCTCGACATCTTTCTGTACAATCTGTGGTTGCACATGACAGGACTGGATGTTTCACCCTCCACCAACGTGACCTGGATCCAGACTCAGACTCGAGATGAGTCTCAGGATCAGTCTCAGGATCAGGGTCCGATGTCGACACTCCTCTCAGTGAGGTGGTGTTCAGGTCAACTGGTGCTCGTTTCTGCTCCTCCACGGACTCACAGTCCTGATTGTGAAGCAGCTCTAATGAGGAGCTGGGATCAATGAGGCCTGATTACAGATGCAAATATAATCTGAGGTCACTGCAGGGAGATAGAGGAGGTTATTGATCAGAGCCGAGAGGTCGTCTGCACACGTGAAGACTTTACTCTGAGGAGGTGAGGGCGGTGAGGAAGGGGAGGAGGAGAAGGAGGTGTGGACAGAATCAGGAAAATGGTGTTTTAATTGCAGATTTCATGTTCTTCAGTTTAATGTCAGCCATGTTTTTTTTACAGATATACAGCTTCCAGTTCATTCCAGTGCACTGTACAAGACTGGGACTAAAACCAGTAACTGGCTGGACCTGGCGTATCATCATTCAGTCTAGTGTCAGCTGGTTTCAGTCTAGAGTCAGCTGGTTTCAGTCTAGTGTCAGCTGGTTGCAGCCAGCTGGTTTCAGACTAGTATCAGCTGGTTTCAATCTAGTGTCAGCTGGTTTCAGTCTAGAGTCAGCTGGTTTCAGTCTAGAGTCAGCTGGTTTCAGTCTAGAGTCAGCTGGTTTCAGTCTAGAGTCAGCTGGTTTCAGTCTAGTGTCAGCTGGTTTCAGTCTACTGTCAGCTGGTTTCAATCAGCTGGTTTCAGTCTTCTGTCAGCTGGTTTCATACTGTGAGCTGGCTTCAATCTAGAGTCAGCTGGTTTCAGTCTAGTGTCAGCTGGTTTTAGTCAGCTGGTTTCAGTCTAGAGTCAGCTGGTTTCAGTCTAGTGTCAGCTGGTTTTAGTCAGCTGGTTTCAGTCTAGAGTCAGCTGGTTTCAGTCTAGTGTCAGCTGGTGAAGTTTAGTGTCAGCTGGTTTCAGTCTAGTGTCAGCTGGTGAAGTTTATGTTGTTTTTAAGTCTTATGCATCCATTGTTTGCATATTCGACCCTACCACAGGAAAATCAGTGAACCAGTCAAACCACAGCTGAAGGAACCTGCACTGATAAAATAAAAACTCAGAGAAAGTCCAGCCTCCGACATGTTTGTAGTTCACCTGGTCTGATTAGCTGCTGCTATCGTCATGTCCTTGTCTGAACCACCTTGCCTCAGGTCTGATTGTTTTGGTTGTGGCGGTGGGTTCGTCCTGCCAGTGGCTCGCTGTGTAATCCTGTTATCTGGCCGAGCGTGTCCCAGTCCAACAGCTGAACAATGGACTCCCCGTTACCACGGTAATCCACCATAACCAGGCCACGGGTGTGAGCCCAGAGACAAAGAGAACAAACAGAGAAGAAGAAGAGGGATTGGAGAGAGGAAGAGTCCTGACAGAACGAGGACAAACAACAAAAACCTCCATGATCATGATTTATAATCCACTAGGTCACAGATACAGTTTAAAACTGATGATGTCTTTATATTTATCTGGATGTTGATGCTTTGAACACTAAGTTTAAAATTCAAACAAGTCACAACCTATAAAATATAAAACTGTAGGTGAAATGAATCCACATTCCCAAACAGCAGAACAACAAACTCTGCTCTGTGATCATTAGCAGGATTAGCCATTAGCCACAGTGAGCCAGGAAGAAGCAGCCACATTGTGATTGAGCATGATGGGAAGTTTGGATGCTTATGACCAGAGCTGATTAGTTAATGACCTCCACATGCAGAGAACAGACATCTGAGGAGTCAACACAGACAGTTTCCCCCTGCCTCCAGTCTTTGTGCTAAGCTAGGCTAAAAACAAGCTGGGTCTGTTAAACTGACATTCATGTGAAACATCTTATGAATTAACGATGTTACTGTAACAAGGTGCAGAATTAGATCAAATCCAGATCAGATTTGAGACTCTGGTCCCTGGTGCTTTGTTCCCACCCCCTGCAGGAGTGGAGGTGATGTCACAGCTCATGTGTTGATATGCTCGTCCTGTTTGTCTCCCATCTCTCAGACTGTGGCCTCAGATGGAAGTTGTGCGACCGTGAAGAATTCGACTCAGGTTGTCGCAGTCAAACCAGCCGCCCACAGCATCGCCACCCAGACCAGCCAACTGCCGTCTGCTGCTGCCGCCTTCTTCATCAGGTCAGTGAACGCATCCCACATAGAAAACTCTCCCTTATCTTTAATATATGATAATATGTATAATAATAAATCAGGCAGATGCACCAGAGTTCAGAGAGAAAATCAAGTCAAATTTACAGTAAATGTTCTGGTTCAGCACCAATTTTACCAGGTTCTTCCCTGGACCGGGACCCAGCCCTCCTCCAAGTTCAGTACAAATCAGTTCAGGACTTTCTCTGTAAAAAAACATTATTCATACACCACCTGTCAAACCATTGTGCTTCAGAACAGAAAAACTAAATATGAAAACAAAATAAAGATCCAGCAAATAAAAGTTCAGTGAATGAAATAGAATAAAACAAATAAATAAATATAAATAAATAAATAAAAACTGTGAAATAAAGAAATAAAACAGAAAGAGGTTTAGAAGATGTCACTGAGTGTAAAAACCTGGTCACTTTTGATCCTGAACCAGGACCAGCAGAGTCCTGCCTGAGGATCTGAAGCTAATGTTGTTTGGTAACAACTAAACTGTTCAGATATTGTGTTGGAAACTTATTAATTAATCCATTAACCTCATATGAAATGTTATTATGGTATTTAGAACATTGTCAAGTATTTCTACATCTTAAAAAGTGAACTAAATCAAAACTCACTTTGGAGCTTTCTACCGCCTCTCATGGTCTTCCTTCAGTGAACTGTCACTGATGTTTCTTGCTGTAAAACGTTAAAGTTCCGATGGTTTTTGGTTTTTCTGCAGCAGAAACATTTAAAATGAGGATTTTCCCTCAGGGATCAAAGTCTTCCTGAGCCACACACTCACTTTTCTCTCTGTGCAGAATGTAATTGGCAGATTTACTATTTTTACCCAGTTTGAGTGGTTGGAGCTGTCACAGAGCAGCAAGCAGCCTGGTCCTCAGGGCTCAGGAGGGGGTGAGGGTGACGAGGGCTTCGGCTCAGTTTCCCATTCACAATTGTAGTATATGTACATATGAAGTAAAATCACATATGAACATATGTTGAAATTACATATGGAACCTGTTAGAAATTGGAACATTTCAATTTACTGTACTCTGGGACCGGCTGCACCAGTGACACTGGAGCCTCTAATGACACTGATGGAGTCCACCTGTGATCTGGTCTCATCCTTCTGTGTCTGAGGCCTTTTTAGATGAAATCATGGTTTCTTCTTCAGTGGAGGGAATTCTGAAGGTGACTTTCACCTGAACGACTGGCTGGTGCTGGTCTGATTTCTCCTCAAACCCCCCCATCTGATATGGTATGCATTAGCTGCTATGAGCTGTTCATGGTACAGAGACCACAGAGGACGCAGAGATAATGAAAACATGAATGTTGAGTGACTGAGACTCGTCGCACATTCAGCTTCAAGCTCCATCAAAGCCACAAACATCAAGGAGCAAAGACGAGAAGAAGAAGTCGTCTATAATTCAGGGGCCGAGATGCATCATCGCCGTGGAAACATCAAGCGTCTCCTTCCACCGGCACATTAGGATGTCGCTGATGGAGGTGGTGCTGCAGGTCATGTCAGAGGTCAGGGACAGTGTGTGTTTTAGACTGATGGTGAGAGGCAGCACAAAGAGATCTGAGAGTTTCCTGGAGGCGGTCTGGACCCTGGACCCTGGTCTCTGGACCCTGGTCTCTGGTCTCTGGACTCTGGACTCTGGACTCTGGACCTTGGACCCTGGACCCTGGGCTCTGGACTCTGGACTCTGGACTCTGGACCTTGGACCCTGTACCCTGGACCCTGGACCCTGGACCTTGGACTCTGGACCCTGGACCTTGGACTCTGGACCCTGGACCCTGGACCCTGGACCCTGGACCTTGGACTCTGGACCCTGGACCCTGGACCCTGGACCCTGGACCCCTACTCAGTACACTGTACCTGTTTGAGACTGTTCAGTTTTACAAACCTGAAACTGATCCCGCTCGATACCCACAGATCATCAGTGTGTCCTCAAAGGTCTGCCAAACCCGGGACTCAAAAACTTGGGTCCAGACCCAGGTACACCCAGGCAGAACAACATCTGAGCTTCCTGGCTATGGTCTCAGAACCAGGTCTGGTCTGGTGAACAGAATCCTTGGACCCTGAAATGAACTGAACATTAAATCAGGCTCCACTCTGAGGGGGGTCGAGTTCCCTCAAAGTGGATTTCTGGCTTTTGGCCCGAGCTTTTCTATCGACCTCCTGGAGCTTCACTCCTGAATCCTTCAGACCAATCAGAGGTGCCGCAAAGACTCACCACCTGTTCTTCTTCTCACTCCTGTCCTCTCCCCAGAACAGCTGCTGGACTTGGTCAATACTTAGTCTGGTCCTGTGTTCAGTCCAGTTCCTACAAACCACACACACACACGCACACACACACACACACATATAATGAGTGTCTTTGAAGTCCTGCGGGGGGGGGGGGTCCATCTCATGAAGTATTCATGCAGCATGTCAAGTGTGTGTGTGAGAGAGAGAGAGGGAATGAGGGGATCAACCGGGGCGATCAACAGCGGTTTTCACGGTTGCTGCGCGTTGACACGACGAGGAGGCGGGGCTGTGAAAAGAGAGAGAGAAGGGGGATGAGAGAGAGGGAGGGAAGGTGAGCGAGGCAGACGGATGGATTGAGGGAGGGAGGAGAGGAAGGTTGGAGCATCGCCAGTGTTTCCCAGCAACAACAACAGCAGCGAGAAGCAGGAATCTACCCGCTCTTCATTCACTCCTTTATTTCTACCTTGTTTTTAGTCCGTCATTCCTCCTCCGCTGCTGCCGCCTCTCTTAATCCCCCCCCCTCTCTCTCCTGGAGTTAGAGGAGGAGGAGGAGGAGGAAGGAGGGAGGGAGGGCTGGAGAGGAAAAGGAGAGGCATTGCGATACTGCAGGAACAGACTGAGAAGCTACAGGAGAGAAGAGAGGGAGAGGAAAAGGAGAGATGGAGGGGGAGAGAAGGAAAATAAAAAATGGAGCAAAACAGGTCAATTTGAAGTAAAAGATGGAGGATAGAGAAAAGGAGTAAGTGAGAACGTGAGAGGAAAAGGAAAGGGAGGACAGGTTAAGATAAAGAAAAGAGGTAGATATTAGAGGAAAAGGTAAAGATAGAAGAAAAAGAGAGGACAGAAGTCAACGGGAAACCGTAGACAGAATTAACGAGTTGGAAAGGAGAGAAGAAAAAGAGATGGTTCAATAATGAGAAAATTTAGACGAGACAGAAGAAGAGAAGAAAAAGAGGAGAGGAATGAGGGAGGGAAGTGAAGGATTGTGTCCACTAATAAAATAAACGGGAGGTGAAACAGGAGCCACGAGGACGGACGGACGCCTCTGAATGGATTTGGTGCAATGCTTGGCTTAGGGATGCTGTTGGACAGAGTGTTGTAGAGATGGATGGACACATGAAGCGTGAAGACCAGATTCTGGACGGAGACACTGCTGATGAACTGAACTAAACTTCTACAAATCTCTGCAGAATTCTCCTCTTTCTCATCTTTTGGATGATGTTCCAACACAAACTTTACAACACAAACTCCTCCGGTTCTTCCCTGAAAACTTCCAGCCGCTCGGACTGACTCTGATCCTGATGAAGGATGAGGGTGGACGGACGGACGGACTGACGGAGGATTCACTGACGGGCGAAGGAGAAAGTGATGCAGTCGACATCTTGAACTGACTGAAACCTGTTGGAATATTCTGAACAAATTCCCTGAGGAGTTTGGAGAGAGTGAGGTAGGGGGGGACCACCAGACTGATATTGGAATGTTTTTGATTGATGGACCAAGTGAAATCTAGAAACTCCTGTAGTATTTAAGGATACAGCTGGAGAAACCCATCGAAAAAATCAAAGATAAATATTGGAATACTCCCAGATTTCCTTTGGAGTGTGGTGAAGTGACTCTGATCACAGGAGGTCAGTTTCTAGATGATTTAAGGATACATGTCGACTGCTGGATGTAATTGTTATTGGCAGACAAAGTGAAATAGTAGAAAATCTCTATATTCCTAAAGGTGTCTGGAAAGAATTGCTCTGAAAAGAGGAAACAACTGGACAAACAAATAATTTACTGATACATAAAATGATTTGAGTAGTTTTTATTGACCAACAAAGAAGGTCTTGAAATCCTCCAAAATGTCCTCAGGGTCTGTGGTGAGACTGAGATGGATGATAACAGAAGATACTGACGATGGACGACAGATACGAGTTTACAGACATTATGAGGTGACACTTGGACTGTTGCACTTAATGACAAAATGAGCACCGTCTTGGGAAGCTCGTATGTTCCCCAAGGTATTTGGCCAAAGTTACTGATAACAGAAGTGACTGATGGATGGACGACCCGTGAACTGATATTGAAAACTGAATTAATGACTTTAATCGCCCAGATGTCACTTTACAGATGATTGAAGTTACTAAATTGACACCAGGGGATGTTTGTTGACAGATGTACCAGAACGTTTTCATTGACAAAGTAAAAACTCCAAAATGTCCTGAAGAGTTTGTGTTTGGTTGGCTGATGATGGACAACCGGTTTACCGACAACATTAAACCTGTTGGACAAATCCCCCGAGGAGTTTGGTGAGAACGATTTGACTCAGACCAGCAGGATGGATGGACAGTGTACGGATACCTCAAAGACAAACTGATGGATGGACAGTTTATTAAGGAAACCTTCACACTAGGACGTGTGGTGGGGCTGCTAAATGTGGATTCAAATGATGAATCAAGAAAAATTTTTGAAAAATCCCAAATTTCCTGAGGACTGTGCTGAGAATGCTTCTGAGAACAGGATACAAGTGGATCAACAGCTTGTTTGACCATAAGTAAAAGTTTACATGATGCGAATGATGACGACTAATGATGTTATTTGGACTAAAGGAAACGTAGATCGACATCAGAATCCCCCCTGGAACAATTAATTCTACGTTGACATTGATGGATTCTGACCAGTTTCCTCTTTGAGAGATTCAGTTTATCCTGAAAACCATCGTCATGTTTCACTGTTGAACACAGTTTTCATCACTGCTGCTGATACCGTTCATCACCAGATTTCCCTCCTGCCGTGCGTTGTGATTCTTCTCCTCAGAGTAAATCTGCTTCTTTGCGATGGTGAATGAGGACGAGAGCAAGTTTGGACCTGGTTCCTCTTCAAGGCGAAAAACTTTAAGTAGATAATGGATTGGAAGGAACTGTGAGTACTAGAGTTTCTTGTTTTAATCAGTTATATAAAACAATACAGAACAATTATATGACAAACAAGCTTCAGGCTTCAGGGTGTTGGTGAGTCCAGAGGAACAGAACGGGCGTTCAAACAGTGAAAGAAAGAACAGACTGTAGATGATCCTACCCATGAAACCAGTTTATCTCTCTGTTATCTCTTTGCTTGTTATCTATTCAGCACACGTGTTTTGACCTTGGAGGAGA